TTTTTTTTTTTTTTTTTAGAAACTGTGACTTTGTATGGCCTGACCATAAATGCCAACTCCTCTCTGTCTGTTACCTGTTGATCCTATTTCATCCTCATGCCTTGAGTCATCCAAATATGAATATTAATTTAAGTTGTGGCTTACGACAGTATTATGAATTAACGCCAAATCTCCGCATTTCAAACGCTGCACATTTCCCCTCTGGCTCCAGCTATTTGGTGTAATTTGGGTATGTTTACATTCAGATTAAGCCCATCAGTATTTATTAATTAGCTGCCTTGCAAATTATAAAGTCTCTAAAGTCAAGAGGATAAAGCTGTTAGATGTCTGCTTCATGTTTCACATTGAGAACCCATACAGAGGAATTCCTGTTCTTGTGTTTATTAGTACGAGAAGTTTTCTTGTGACTCTTTTCCTCTACCTGTGTCTGTGTTTGTTGTCTGTTCTGTCTTTCATGTCCTCTCTTCCTCTTTCAACCTCTCACGTGTCATTTCATGTGACTGTGATTTGTGAATTGGCTTGCATGGTTCTGATGACCCCTCTCCCCCCCCCTCCACTCTGCAGAAGGTAACTTACTCTTGCAGATTTCTAAAAGAAGACTTGAATTGGAGAATCCCTCAGTTAAACAACACATTAATTGCTTCTGTGCGATCATGTAATATGCCTACCTCAATCCTATTAATCAGTCATGTAGACGTTTGCCTCAGCAGGATAAATGAGAGAGAGCCAGAGCTTTCTTCACAGTAATATGTAACAGTCAAGAGTGTTTAATATCACCATCACTTGGATAGTGTTGATAGCTCACTACCTAAAGGGATGTTACCTCTCCTCCTCATGGGTTGTGTTACTATAAATCAAGTGTGTAATAAACATAATCGATGTCTACCCCACCTACCTGCTTTGTGTTCGCTCTGGTTCTCGATCAAGAGTTTTTTAGTATTCATGCTGAGAGCAATAGCTACCCTTTGCATCGTCTCCTCCATATTGTTGATCTTTCCTAACCTTAGCCTGAATGCCATGCTTGAAAGGCTAAATCGACTAACTCTGACTAATTTAACCAAGGTTTTATAGGCAAGCAATATTTTGTGTGAGAGTGTGAATACTAATCATTACGAACCTCTTTCTTGTTGTCTGCTGGTGAGTAATACTTTAGTCAGCACTTTTCTATGCCAGGGGTACATTTGAAGAACTATTTAAACTAAAAATGAGATTTCTTTTAAAGACTAAAAATCAGAGCAGGGAAGCATGAAATGCTTTTAAGAATAAATAGTTTTTTTAATTAGGTTTGAAACACTCAGAGTTTACTAATCTGACCCCCAGAAGAATAATCTGGGAGTCAGGACAGCAAGAGTTTGGTCACCATGTCTTCATCTTTGAGCGAGAAACAACCAGGAGGTCTACTGGACCCGTATGTAATCAGCAACTCACTGATGTGGAAGAGCCAAGATGTGAAACACCTTACAAGTAATTGGAAGGATTGCGATTTCAATCCTAAATTTGACAGGAAGCCAGAGTACTGAAGCCAGAACTTAATGTAGTTACAATCATGAGCAGAATTTTAAACTAATTGTAGACAAGCTTCTTGGCTTAAACAAGAATACATTGCATCACAATAGTCAAGACTCGAGGAGACAATTCAATGGATGATTTCCTCAAGCTGTTGGAAAGGGGAAGCAGCACACTTTGGCAATGTTTCTGAATTAAAATGTAACAGGGCTATATATCTGTTTCTCAAAGATCTATTGGGATTAAAAAATTACCCACAGGTTTTCTGGAAATCATCTTTTAGATGGGAGCCTACAGAGAGTGCTGTAAAATATAAGAAAAGTCAGATTTGTGGCAAAGACGGGGACAACTTTTTTAATATAATTTACCGGCAGAAAACTAGCAGACTTCCAGGCACTGATCTCAACAAGACAAAAATACCAAATTTAAAAGTTCCCAAGGTTTCACTAAAGCATAAAGCTGGACATCATTGAGAGACGCAGTCCAGGATTGACCCCTGAGGAACTCCACAGATCACAATCAAACACTTTGTCCGCCACGGATACAAAGAAGAAAAGAAAGTAATTAGATAAATAAATCTTGTCTTGCAGTCGCCACCTGATACATTTATATTTGACTTTATTGTTGTGTGTTAGGTGTTTAACATTGATTATGGAAATCAGTGTAATGAGTTTAAGTAAGGGGGAAAATACATTAAACGTGCATTTAGTGCATTACAAGTAAGTTGTACTGCACAAACATTTCTCCCTGTGGTATTCTTTACAGGCAAACTCATGTATTACACTGGGAAATGCAAATCTTACATAAACATGTCAGTCGGTGAGAAATAACCCTTTCCCCTGAAGCCTTGTATGACACTGGGGGAATGTCAGTCCACAATTTTATGCTGACTGGATGTCACTCAGCAACTGAATCAGATAAGCATGTGGCTGTGTGTCATTTGGTAATTAGTCTGCCTTGAGACATACCATCTTGAGGCGAGCGATTAAGGAAGGTCAAGTGATTTAAAAGGACAACAATAAAGAGGCCAGTTTCAATCTTAAGAATTCAATTCCTAATCAAGGTTTTCTTTTTCTTTGCTCGTCTATTTTAAAAAAGGTACTGGTGGACTGACAGAATCTTCTCCCAGTAAAATAACCCTGTTCTCTCTGAATCTTTTAAATGAGCCTTTAAATAACCTCTGCCGTGCTCTTGTGTGCCTGTAGGGAATCCCAATCCTCCTAAACTCGAAGGGGCACTTCAACCCAAAGGCAACTCGCTCAAAATCAGCTGGATCAAGCAGGACGACGGCGGCTCGCCCATTTTACATTATCTCATCCGCTATAAACCAGTAAGTATGACAATTAGTCTGTGTCAACTAAGGCAACTACTTTGATAATTGAGTCATCATTTACGTAACCTTTTAAGCAACAATGCCCACATTTCTCTGGTTCTAGCCTTTTACATGTGAATGTTTGCTTGTTTTCTTAGTCTTTTCTGATAGTAAACTGAATATATTTAGGCTTTCTGGGAAATTCATGTATGCATGTTATTTTTCAGACATTTTATATACCAAATGATGAATCAGTTGATCGACAACTTAACTGGCAGATTAATCCTCAGTGAAAATGTTATACAAACCAAATAATTAATCCAAGAAAATAACCTGTGAAATGAAAATAATCATTAGTTGCTGCCCTAAATGCATGTACTGTATACATCTCTATCTTTCTGCAGCTACAGGAACCAGATTGGAAGCCAGAAATCCGGCTGCCCAGCGGCAGCGAGTACGTGGTTCTGAGTGCTTTGGAGTGGGACACAGAATACAGCGTCTATGTGGTGGCAGTGAATCAGAAGGGCAAGTCCAAGCCAGCAACCATGTCCTTCAGGACGTCCACAAAGCCAGAAGCCATCCCAGGTACCCTCCCTCAGGCCGCTCACACTAAGCCGGAACTAAACAGCCAGAAAACTGAGGAGCCAAACTCAAAGCTCAAAACCAGAGCGTCACATTCTATTTTTAACTCTCTAGCTCTGAAAGGTGAATGACAACTAAATAAATCTACAGAAAAAAATAGATTTCTTGGACAGCGGTGAGCCAGAAATGATTTTCCGGCTGAATTTTCTCACTTGAAAGTTTTGACAGCCCTTGCTAAATGAGCTTGAGTTTGGGCTCACAGAACTGGGACAGGCTCTTTCCACAGAGGATGAAATGATTTCCTCTGAATGACTGTAGTTTTTCTTTAGCTTTGTTTACTGTTAAACTAGCATCTAGAGTGGATGGTTTGTCCCTGTGCGGAAGCAGCCTTTAAATTGACCCCTGATAACCGCTGATTAACTCGTACCTCCAGGTCTTAACTGCAGCTGAAGGTTTTTTACCAACCGTACAAAAACCACACAGCTTGTCAGAGTCCCTTTAGGTGCTAGACACTGCCGAGTGCTTTGCTGAAACATTGCAACAGACCATTATGTCTTCCTTTCACTTCTTTTCTAATTCATTTTCCAAACTAAAGCATTTCCCACTCACCCACCACTGAGTCACCATCTAGCCAACATGGTGTAGTTTTCCCCTTTTGTGCTGTGCTTTTGCTTTGATGTGTTGCTGTATTTGTTTTCCTCCCTCAATACAAGAAATCAGTTTCTTTTTTTTCCTTTTTTTTTTTCGCTTTTGGTTTTCAGACCTGACACATTTTCACTTTCTCTCTTCTTCTGTTTTCCCCACCCTTCTCTTTTTTTCCTCTTTGTTTCCCTTCATTTCCCCCCCTCCTCTTCCTTTATTCTCTTTACCCCTCTCTCTCTCTTTATCCCCTCTCTCAATGTTCCTGCTCTCTTGCCTGGTCCTGGACATTGGTGTGGTGGACCGCGTGAACATTTTCGCCCCGACCTGTGTGCATTTTGGTGTGTTCGGGGTTGTGCTGCCCCCCTCCATCAGCCACTCAGGGCTGTTCATCTGTGACATACACTTTGGTATCACTCATCTTGTCCCTCATCACTGTACTCCTGCTCTCATAGTTTTCGTGGGGGGAATTCACACCATAACTGTAGAGGAGAGCTTGCCTTTCTCTGGCCTGGCTGTCTCTCTGGACACTTTCACTCCTTGAAAACAGACTTTGTCCATGGCAGACGTGTCTCTGTTATGGGTGAGAAAAGGGTGCCGTGTAGCTTCAGAACAGACCAGACAGACGTGTTGAACCAAAGGCAGTGGAAATCCTCCGCCTCCTACAGATTCACTCTGCTCAGCATTAGCACAGCTAGTCATCAGTACTAGACAACTGAGAGGAGTGCCAGTTTACCATAATGAACAATAGTGGAATTGAAAGGTCGTATTAAAAAAATAGCACTTAGAACAGAATAAAGGCTGAGTGCTGGGCCTGTCCGTTTACATAAAACACTATTATATTCTTTTAATCGCTCACAAAATTCTGGGTATGTACTGTAAAGGTTTGTAACATTAACGTTTACATGATTGAAAACAGATACACCTAACTGAAAAATGTTTGTAATAATAATATTGGAACACTTTGACAAGCTGTATACAGAATTATCATAAGGAAAGTGTTATTTTTGTGATGATTACTAAGACAAATGTTCAGATATTTCTTATGCATGTAGTGTGTATCAATTATCATTCAAAAATACCTGTTTTTATACATTTATATTGGAGGTGCTTGACTCAGCTGCATTTTATTCTTTTGCAAATCTTGAGTAGTAATTATTGGTATTAAAGAGTTAAATTTATTTAGAAACAGGATATTTTTCTGCAGTCTAAAGTTATAATTATAATAGACTTTACACAGACTGTGAACATACATCATAGCCTTTTGTGATATTATAAAAAGTGTTATGTTAATTTTGTCCACAACATTTCTGGGTGACTAGCATCGCAGTGTAAGCTTTGGTTTGCTCTTCTTTCTAATACCAAATAAATGGGATGAACATATATATATTTTATATCTTTTTTTAAGGTCTGTCTTTGTCTTTTTAAGGACAACAATTTGCATATAAATCAACCTCATATTTAAAATTAAGTTGTATAAACACTTTAACACAAGTCAGACAGCAGTCTGCACAAACACATCACACTGCATCTAAATTCATGCTGAGACAACTAGAACGTAACAGGGCTCGTAGCAGGTGAGTTGTTTCTGTTTTATGGAACTATTTGTGGTTACAGTAGCATAGCAACACGTTATTCAGTTGTTCATGGCTGTTTCTATAAAACTGTCGCGCTACAGTTGTTCAGCACTCTCCCTATCTTGTCTCCTGTCTGGCAGATTTGGGTGATGAGGCAGCACTCTCCATGGGCATCATGATCTGGGCAGGGATCCTTGTTGTAGTATTTGTACTCCTGCTGCTGGCTGTGGATGTCACCTGTTACTTTGTCAACAAGTGTGGCCTCATAATGTGCCTCTGCGGCAAATCCGGCACCGGGACTAAAGGACACCACTTGGAGGAGGGCAAGGCAGCTTTCATGTGAGTATCTGTGAAAACAATTGCATGCAGTTCAACAATCTTTCAAATAGTTACATTTGGCCAGATTTAAATTAAGGTTTAATTATCCTGTAGGTTTTATTTATGAAAGTCTTCATATATGCGCCTTATTTTCACAGGCTAGTGATATGCACGCTGTCAAAGCTGCTCTAATCAATATTTCTCTAACAGTGGATCAGCTGACTGTGTGTAAGGTGACACTTGCAGCGACAAACACTGAGAACTCGCGGCTCACATCAGCTTTACAGAGCTTTTTATCAGCTTTCTAATGATTGATTTGTTTTTAGTTTTGTTTCAGTCCTCCTGCTTTTATCAGTGTTGTTCCCAGTTGCAGCAGAAAGCTGTTTTTACCAAACAAGTTCTGATAAACACACTACCTGACAGGTAAACAGCCAAACTGCCAAACAGCAGACAAAGTTAGTGACAGTGGTGCGTTTAGCAGCGAAAAAGACAAGTGTTTCTTTCAGATTGCATTTAGACCAAAAGCTCAAGACTCCTTTTTTTTTTTTTTTTACTAACTCCCTATATCATACTGTAAGACTACGTGGGGTACGCATGGTAAAAAGAACGACGTGTACCAGTACGCGCAGTCTCATCACACGTGGGTTTTTACACATTTGGAAACCTGCGTGGAAAGTGGCATAAGTACACTTTTTGTGTGTACGCATGGTTTATAACTGGCCCCAGGTGTAAATTCAAAGGTCTATGGATCGGATGTCATTACCCAGATAATGTTTCCAGATACAGATCACAAAAGATGGCCAGAAACACAACTTCAAATCAATGCTAATGTTGCTAAGTGTCTGCTGGATGTGTAAATAGGCAACTGTTTGCTAAAATATTAGCCATAACAACTTCAATAGAGGATTTCTGTGTTGTGTTTATAGCTTGTTGTACTGCTCCAACATGGCAACAAATAAATAAATGAATGCAAGTTAAAATATTTCCAGCTTTGAAGATATGGAGACAGGACGGTGACTGTAAAATTTGGCATCCAAAAAAATTGGCATTGAAAACAAAACCAGTACTGAAAAAAGAAACATTGGCATTGCAAACATTTGCTATCGAAACAGTTGTATGACATGAACAAATATTGCACTGAAAAATAAACTAAATTAATAAATAAAATCTTAAAATGTATTTTTTATTTGGGATTTCTTTGTATTTTTCAATGAATCAAGTAGGAGTGTGGTTTGCATATAATTTGTCATATCGGCGCATACTGGAGAGTACGTCTTTTTCTTTACTAAAGCTCCTGTCACTGGGAACTTCCACGTTGCATGTGAATAAACATTAAATGCCAGAGAAAAATAACAGTACTTTTACTTGCGCGTTTGGAATTGAATTTGATGCATTGCAAAATACAAAAATCCCAATAAATAATAAGATTTAATTATTTTAATTAGGTTATTTTTTCAGTGGCCAATACTTGTTTTAATGGACCAATAACAACTGTTTTTCAATCAATACAAATGTTTCAATGCCAATGTTTCTTTTTTCAGTACTGGTCTTGTTTTCAATGCCAATGTTTTTTTGGGATGCCAAATTTTAGAGTCACCGTCCTGGCTCCATATGAAGAAGAATGACTAAATATAGATGATTTTTGTTTCGTTGAAGTTTTAAAAAAAAAGCACCTTGCGATGCTCTTTGCAATGTTATGAGTAAGCAATCTGTGATGTTAAATGTCTTCCAGGCACTGCTCTTTTAGATGAAGTTGTTCTAATTTATCTTTTTGTTGTTTACTTTTTGCCTAAGTCTGCTGTACTTTCTACTTAAATTAATGACTTCCTACATTCCCCAGAAGGCCTTTCAAGGACTGACATTGAAGATGATAAAGAATTTTAGCTGAAGGTTTTATGTTTAGGCTGATAAAGGAAGAGATAACTGGCAGAGGGTTTTCCATTAGGAGAAACTGAGAGCTGTGCCTCTTGAGCAAAATCAACATGTCTTGTGACAGCAGTGCATTATGGTCTGCTCAGTCAGTATCCACAGGAACAGGAAAAATGCACAAATCAATATAATGGGTCCATAAATGAGATGAAGTTTTTAGAGTGGATTTCTCCTCCAGTGAAAATATGAAGGATGCCGGGTTTAAGTGAAGCACCGAACAAATACTCTCATGTGCACAATAAGGCAGTTTTGAATCAATTGAGTGGGAGGTTGCGTCGTGTATTGATTTGTGCCACATTTCATGCTACTGGTTTCACTAAAATACAGCCACATGCATTTCTTCCCACGAGTTAGCGGACTCAAAATTTGACGCTGACTCAGTTGAACAGGTAAACCATTCACATAATCACCGTCTCCTGCTCGTGTCCCCTTACTGCTCATACTGGAAGACACGATAAAGAGCTTTGTCTCTCTATCCAACAGGAAAGATGAGTCCAAAGAGCCAATAGTGGAAGTCAGGACAGAGGACGAGTGCACAGCCAATCATAACGCAGCGGGACCGACGACAGAACCCAATGAAACCACACCTCTCACAGAGCCAGAGTGAGTAAAAACTCCATACGTACAGCACACAGCATTTTTACTGCTCAAGTCTTTTATAGCTGTTGTGCATTGCACTCCACTTCAAAGAATAATTACCTTATTCAACAGGACAAAATCTGACCCTTGAAATTACTGAAAAGTTCAGGTCATTCTTGAGTGGAGTCCACTGAACTGTGTTGCTTTTCTGTTTTTATTCCCTTTGAGAGGGATTACTGCAATTTGTGTTTCTTCTCCAGCCTTTGGAGATTTTCTGTCTCAGTGTATCAAGGTTGAAGCAATACCAGTTAAAGACACAGAAAGGCATTTGTCCTCTTGAGTGTGGTCAACTCATATGAAGCCATTTGACAACCACAGCAAGCCGTTGTCTCGCATCAGCAGTCTGGAAAAATTAGATGATATCGTATGAGATTGTCACTGGTACTGTTTAACCCTTATAGGTGGTTCTGCGTGGTGCTGTAGTTTTTCTGCAGGAAGAGTGGTGCTTTTTTTTAAGAACTTTCCTAGTCAGTGTACTCCATGTTGGTGTGTGTATGGGATGTATCCTTTAAATGTTCACTCACAGCATGACGCCCTCTTTTTCTGTGTTTCTTTTTCTCACTAGGCTTTAATAGTTGCTTTTTTTTAGTTGCTTTGTTTTATGTTTGTGTAAATTTTGAAAACCAACTAATCCCTCTGCATGCTCTTGTCCGGGCCACCCTTCCTCTGTCACAGTCACCCTGGTGTCTAGTCTGTGTGTCTCTGTTCTCTCCCTGCTCTCTCAGGCTGGCGGCTTACACTGCTGCTCCGGCACTGGACACGCTCTCCTCCATAGCCACCAACTCTGACACAGCCACTGCAACAATTGACCCCGCTCAGGACAGCCCCTCTAGCGAGACCACTACCCTCACTTGTAGCCTGTCTACCCCTGCCAACGACCCCTCAGAACCCTCACCCACCCCTAGCCCAGCTCCGGCCCCGACTCCAGAGTCGAACACCGCCCCGCCGACTCCGCTCATCACCACCTCCGCCGTCGAAGCTAAAATGGCCCCGTTAGTAGAACAAAGAGGAAGTAACAGCCCGGAAGAACAGGAGAAAATAACCACTCCTCCTCCACCTGAACGGACTAAAGTTCAAAAAGCGGGGGCGCCGATACCACCGAAGCGTAGACACTCTCCTAAACTTGCCGCTCTGAATGCTAAAGGTAGCCCCCCTGTATCTCCGCTGGTTGCGTCTTCTCCATCGTCCTCTCCCACTCTCGACACCAAGAAACCTGCTCCGAGCCCACCGGTCAAGAAGCTACCCATAAAGCCACACGACGTAGCCTTAGACATCGAGACGCCAGCACAAACTGCCTCCACTCTAGCAACCACTGCCCCTCCAAAACCAGATGCTGATTCAAATCCAACTGCCCCAAATCCCAGTGCGTACAGCCTTACTGCCTTTGACACAAATAATAAACCTGCTGCCCAGCTTGTCGATGAAAACATATCCACTGCCAAAGATGCTGCAACTAGCTCTCCTTCAGTCATCCACAATACTCTTAAAGTCCTGGATGCTGAAGAATCTGCTCCTCTGGTTTCAGATGTCCCCTCCCCTCTACCCATTACTCCCATTTCTTTTATTCCTGCCCCTGGCGGTCTCGAGGCGCCGGCCTCAAATGATTTCCTCACATCGGGGTCCGACACCTATGACTTACTTACCTCAGCCGTGGGACCCAAAAATGCGGATTTAGAGTTAGCGCTGACAAACGGGACAGAGAGACCCTACCGGCCCCCCGCAGACCTTATTAGCTTAGAGAGCCCGCCCTCTGCCCCCTCTATGGCCAATGGAGACGGAGCAGACCTCCCCCCCTCAGGCCCAGTTCTGGAGGCATCAGAGACTCTGGCCAAGACTGCTCCTCCTGTCAACGATGAGTACGGCTCCCTCTAGAGGTTTATCTGTGTGTTTGTGTGTGTGTGTGTGTGTGTGTGTGTGTGCGAGTGTGTAACTTGTATGCCCATTCATTCACCACCGCATCTTGCCATTGACCACACAATATGAAATATTGTAATGGTAAACTGTGGTAATGACATTGGGATAAGTATTAGTAAGATGTTGTGGATTGTGACAGACGAGTGACATGATGGTTCTGTTTTTTTTATGCCTGTGTGTACCAGTTCTCCATTGTGGGGTCTCCAGTTTTGCAACATTCACTACAAGAATAGTTGAGCCCCTTTCAGACATGCACCTCGTTACATAAATGTCACATTGACAGTAATATTTCTGTAAAGCTTGGTACAAGTCTGAATTAAATTAAAGCTGCTAATATGCTTCATCTCTCTCTGTCTCTCTCTCTCATAAATACCTTCCAGGAGAGGCCGTTTCAAAGTGTGCACACCGCTTTCCCCGTGTTTATACTAGAGCCCACCAATACTAGTTTAATTACTGGTATGGCAGCCGATATAGGGAATTTTTTAGTTGACTATGCAAAGGTTATTTAGCATATACACTGTCAATCAATTCTAGTTGACACTGCTTCTTCTCTTACTCGGTGCTACTTGTATTGCTCTGTATTGTAAAACACAGTGCACTCTGCTGGATGAAGTTTGCAGGGGCACAAAAATATTACAACAAGAATTGTGCATTATAAACTTTTAATATATGTCTGCAATAGGCCAATATCAGCCAATTATATAGGTTGGGCCCTAATGTCTAAGATTATTGCATCTCACCCCTCTCTAAGACAGCTTTTCATCCTGTCTTTGTGGCTATACAGAACAGGTATACACACATTGTAAGGTGGTCGACCCTAACATAAAAGCTGCAGCTGCACAGTTAAATGCACGTAACAAATGTATCACTGAATCTCTTATGTACAAAGAACATTTAATCAGTTTAATAAACCAGAAAACACTGTCATTGAACTTGAATTATAGTTCTTTAGGTTAATGAGGAGACTTTTCTCCTCCATCTATAAGAGTACATTTTTTTTGACTTGACAAAATACTTCAAATAGATCAACAATAGTCAGACCTGCAGTCTCCCACCCTAAAGGTTCGACTTTGCCCAAAACACTTAAAGTCTGAACGAATAGTAATTAAACAGTCCCAACTTGACATATTGTCATTGTAAAATAGTCAAGAGAACTCTCTGAGAAATGATGAAATTGAGAACATTTATTGAGCATCCCCCCTTGCTCACGGTGGTCGTTAATTATGCCTTCAACAGGAAAATACGTTTTAAAATCAATCACTGAAGCAGCCTGTTGATATCATTACTTTCCAACTCCGTGCTGCCACTACTCCCTGTTGTGCAGCAGATGGCAATACCGCACAAGCATTGTGGCTTTTTTCCATCCCAGTCCTGTCACACCTATTACACCTATTACACCTATGCATGTCTGAATGATAAAACAGTATCAACACACCGATGAATGCAGCAATGTTATGTGTTCCATGTCTGAAAGGGGCTTTATTTTAACGACAAAATGTTTTGTCTCAGGCAGTAAGTGTTTGCCTCTGAATGTTGAATGTTGCTGAAATCCTCACCAACTCTGCAGCTCTGCTATACACAGCAGAGGCTGGATGATGGTGTTTTCCTGCCCTGAACTGCAGAAGAGGAGCTGCAGGCAGATACTAGAAACTGTGCTTCACTGCTTTAAGATGAACATGGATATCACATACTGCAGGCCCCGGGCGCATTTACTGTGCCATCATAGTCTCTTCTGAAGTAGAGCTAAGCTGATTCATTGATCATATTTGATAAACACTGTTTGCTTTAGATCAGGAAGGCTAGTCCGGCTATGGTTTAAATTTGATCTGACTGTCGTCAAGGTGGTGAAGAAATATGTAAAAAGACCTCTAAATACTAAGTGTCTTCTTACATATTGGGTGAAGACGTCTTTGAGAATAAATTGTTAAGATTGTGTTCAACTAAACTGTTTGTTTTCTCCCCCGAGATGACCGGATTTCTAATTTTACACGTTCTCGTTTTTTCCATTGCAGGAAGATTTTCTCTGATGAGAAAGGCAAACTGGAGGAGGCCCTGACGGAGATCACTGCAGAACACAAGAGTGTCATACAGACAAATACCACCGAGAGCAAAGCATGATGGGCCGGGGGAAACCCCAGCCCAACCCAAAACATTTTTCGCAGCAGCATTGAGCGAGAAACACTGCAGGAGTTTTGATTTCCAGTGCCCTTAACTACATATTTAAAACAACACACATGTGTCGATTGGTTACAGCGCACTTTGACTGTGCTTTCATTTCTGGTTTCATTCATGAAATGTTTACTACACCCAAGGAGTTTATCTTTAGGTCATAAGAGATTTATTTTATTTTTTTATTGTTATTTTATTTAACCAGTCAGGACGATTGAGAACAATCTCTTATTACAATGATCGCTTGGTAAATATATGAAATTAGACTCTACTTTCTATTGTGCTTATAGTTTGAATTGCAATCGCATACAAGTCTTGAATTATGAGAAATGTAAAAAAAAAAAAAAAAAATCTGACTCTATATATAGAAATTATTTTTCTTATTTTCATGTTCAACTGTTCAAATGTGAAACTGTTTGAATTTATTTTTTTTTTTGTTTGGACTTAATTTGTGGGCTAGTCTCATTGAATAGCTTGTTCTGCATGTCTGACCTGCAAGTGGTTGTAAAGTTTTGTTTACAAGGTTTATGTTTTCACTTTGTCTGTTACAGGGATGTGTCATCTCTCACAGATACGCTGGCATTGATTTAACACAGGCCCCAGTTCAATGTTTGGATTACAACCATATTTGCTATGGTGATAAAAATACAGGATTAACCCACAGCCAGCTGCAGGGGAAAAGAGACCGACGGAGAATCACACAGACTGTGTGCATGATCAGATCAGATCTGACCCATTTTATGATCAAATGTATTCAGTCTGTCACTGCCTTACCACAGTGTTAGTTCAAAATATTCATTAATAATGTGTATTTGATTAAAAAAGGCAACTCACTGAACACAAACCGACAAAAAAAGAAAAAAAGCCAGCAGAACTGCTGATTCTCAGCCAAGGGTTGAAGAACCGTGAATCAAGCGAATGTCGTATGATCTTGCGCTAAATATACGCCACGTATTTGTTTAGGGGGCAACAACTACAATAACTATTGTTTCTTCCTCACATTAAAGCAGATCAAAGGTCTGGCTTCGTACTTTGAGTTGTGACTTTGAAGCAAAAAATAAAGAAGCCTTTTTGTACTATTTAAAAACTACAAAAGATTTATTTTCCATTTCCTGCCTGCAAGCTTGTGCACTGTGCCTGTGTGTCAGTAGATTGTCTTGTCATCAGTTCCTATGATAATCTGCATAGCTTTGTCGTGAGAGATTTAGCCGATTCTTTTTTTATTTAATATATTGTATTACTAGAAGAAAAAGTATGATAAATGGACTAATGTGGTCATTATAACACGTGTAGTGTATAAAACTGTCCGTCTCTGGTCACAGCACTATATATCGCCAGCTATAGTGAAGGAAGGTGTTTTGAGCCTTGGCATGAATTCAGTCAGTACTTCATAACGTATAACTACGAGGCAGATAGACGTGCCCATGTTTGTTTGGGGTAAATAGTTCTCATATTGATTTAATGAGTGTTACCTTTTGGGGCTTGTTCTGGCATTATACACTGTTTTTATTTTTCTCCCCCCAGTTGTTATTCAAGTGTTCTGTAATGTGGTCTTTGAATTTTTCTTTTTTTTTTTAAGTTTTTGTCTTTTTGTACAAAAATCACTCACCAAGAGCGACTGCTTGACAAGTTGAGGATACCGCCGGCAGGAAGCAGGGTGGTCCACCTGAAACAGGAGATCAAACGTTTTTTAAAAAAGCTTTAGATAACAGATGTAATGCCAAGAGAAGTGAATAAAGATTTAAAGTATATAAAGAAAGAGACGAGCTTTACTCATGCCTGTTACCCAGAACCCCACCGTTGATCCGTCCAGCCTCCTGGATGCTCGCCTTTGTTTTATTGGGTCAAACTCAGCAAAATATCTGTTTGCTAGAGTCTGAGTGTAACGCAATTTACAAATATAAGAATGAGTTTCCGAATCTAATGTTTGTCCTGGCATTTTGTCCCATTAGTTTTCATTACTTTTCCGTTTTTTTTTGTTTTTTGCCCCCCCTTCCAAACCAAAACAACCATGATCTGTTCTTTCGATAAAGCTTGTAGTCATGACATTATCGTACACAGCTAGATGGCAGTAAACGCCCACATTATTTGGATTCCGCCCTCTGTTGTTTTCTTCGCCAGTGTTCATCCGGACACCACAGGACTCATTAAGAAAGGTTACAGCCACTGCAAACAGGTTTATGTTGGGCCTGGAAAACTTCCCTCCGGGGCCTACGGCGTGTCCAGATAAGCACGGAGGAATGGGAGGGGACGGACGGGGGGCAAAACCACGTGTTATCATAACGCATGGTTTTGTGCAAGGAGTAAGAGTTAATACCTTCCCAGGCTAAGATGCTCAAGTATCTGCTAGGTACCCTAGTGAGGGGGCTTGATATTCTTCAGCTGTGTTCATCCCCCAACCTTTCGGTACTCTTAATGTACTGACC